TTCTAAATTCAAATTTTCTCATTTATCATATTTTGGTTATTAGTTACTGAAATATTTTGTTCCATAATCGGAACTCAATTATAAATAATATAATAAATCATTTGAGATATAAAATTCAAAACTATTTAAAAAAATTAATGTATTTTTTTATTTAAATTAACAAAAAGTGATGTATTTCATTATTTTATTATTTTTTTCACAAATTTTACTAATGTAATGTATCAGTAAAATTTCTAGACATTAAATAATATTTAATGGATCTATATTAATATTATAAATTTCCTAAATTTTGGTGGAAAGTTTATCATCGATGATTTATATAATTTACATCGGTTATCATACTATGATTTAATTTTCTTTTCCATCTATAATTATTAACTGCTATAATAATTTTTATATTCCTTTTTGTACTTCATAAGTTTTTTGGATGCAATTCCGTTTTTTTGATCAAACATATTTAAAGCTTTTCTCTATTGTAATTTACAATTCAATAGTTAATAATTTTTTTAAATCTATTGATGAATTTTACTAAATTATGAATCGAAATAATATTAATAAGGAAAACGTTCGCTTGTGTCACCAGTTTTCTACTCCACAAACTGTAAGAATACTAAGTATAACTTCGTTATTTAACTTAGCATTATTGATTTATTTTTTATAACTAATTAAATCAATAATGATTGCAAGTATCTAATAACAAATCTTTTAAAGTAATGTCTATCGTTTAGTGGTTTGAATCCTGTTTCTATTAATGTTTTTAATTTTTTTTATCATACTTGATATTTTTCTATTGGTGTTAAATTTTAAGTAATTATTAAAATAAAACATTACATTATAACTTGATAAGATTTTTTTAAATTTATGTTTGATAGAGTAGGATTATGTAGTATAATATATTTATAAAATATAAATATGTATTTCTTTTATACTAATTAATCACANATATATTTATAAAATATAAATATGTATTTCTTTTATACTAATTAATCACAAAAATTTGTTTTATTATGATAACTGATTATAGTTCTAAGTAATTTGTGTTGCCAAGTATTTTTTACAAGGCACTATTTAAAAATATCATAGAATTTGAATATAATATAAAATGTTGCAACTGTTTATAAAGGAATAACTTTGTAATAAATTTAACTTAGATAGTTTATAAAATAGATAAATTCAATCTGTAAAACTAGAAATATTATTATGTTATAAATTTTCAAATTTTGTATTGTAATTTGTGTATGATAAATATATTCTATGTGGAAATTGTAACGATTTTTCAGTGTATTTAATCATATATAATTTAAAAAAAATTATTTTGTTTATTGTAATTAATTCTATGTGAAAATATTCATTAGTTGAATAAATTTAATTATTAAATTGACTAAATTTTAAATGTAAGAATATAATATTTTATGAATTGATGATTTAATTAATATCCTTGGAATTTTTTCCCTGTTTATTTGCTTCATATAACTTCATATGAGTTTTTAAGTCTCGAGACTGTTTTAAGAAAGCAGTTATTTTTAATGAATAGGCAGAAATTATAATTAATACTATACTTCTATATTAATAATGTAATATTGTTATTACAGAAATGTAGAAATTTCATCATAAATTTATATTATATTATATAAAATACTTTACTTTAATTAAGATGAGTTTCAATTAAATTACAATTTAAATAAGTATTGCATTTTCATTTTTGCACTATATTTAGTATAATTTGTTATGTGCACAGGTTTAATAACAACGAATAACTTAATAGAATGTGTCTATCAGTATTACAAATCTTCATTCAATATAGATACATCATATTATAAATATAACATTGTTACATTGTGAACTAATTTTTATTAAAATTATTTTCAGATAGGAAAAAATGTTACAATTACATCAGTTTCAAAAAAATCAGATGTATTATCTTACCTTCAAAATAAAAAGTAAGAAATATATCTTAAAATTTAAAGTTATTAATTTTTTCCTAGAACTTAAGTATTAGATTTCTATTTTGTTTCAAATATTATTTTGAATTCTGGTAATGATATGAATAATAGAATTATTATGTTAAATATACTATTTATACTTAATTGATAACAAAAACTTTAAACCAAATAAAAATCTTTAGTTGTAACTAAAACTACAAATACTAAACCATTTCCTTAATTCATTCTAAGATATACAAATATGCATAAAGTATAGTAAAGTTGTAGTGTTTGTTTAAAATAATATGAAACGGTTTGAATTTTAATAAATGATTTAACTATGTTTAAAACTAATTAAATAGTTAAATTAAATTTATATCATGATTAACTTGAATAGTCTAAATGCAATAAACATATTTCTTTTATAAATAATAGTCAGTTTTAAAATAGGTTATTTAAATGTTTTATTTTTTATTATTATTAATAATAAAATAATTTTTAATTTCTCTATATTAACATCTTTTCTTACATAATTTTCGTCTTAAAATTGTTCAATTATAATTATTATTACAATTGTTTCATAAATATTAGATTAATTTATTTAAAATATTTTGGCCAAAATAGAGCTTGCAAATCAAATTCATGCTTGTTTTTTTCCTACATAGGAAAACATGCTAAATAAAATACAAATTCATCCATAACAATAACAATTAAAATGTTAAGTTTAATAGTACATTTAACAAATTTTTAATATTTATTTTTATAATTTTATGTCTCAATATGGGGTATTTGAATTTTTAAAACAACAAAAACCATTTTTTTAACATTACTATGACCAATTTTAAGTATACTAATTTTTAATTTCTTTTATCAATTTCACTATTTATAATTATTTGATTATTTATTTTGATTTTTATTAGTGTTTAATGATCTGTGAAAGGTCCTAGTGATTTTCTTCATTGAGAAGGATTTAAAAGCAGGACAGATAATACGGTTTATTATAAAATATACTAGATTTTTTAAAAACTTTTGAATCATAATTTTTGGTCATTGTAAAATTTACTTTATTGGATTAATTTTAGTTTTCTACAGTATATAAATGCTATGTATAAACTTTTTAATCTTGTTTTTAAACTTTTTACAGTATATATAGGCAATTTTTATTGATGAACTTAAAAGACTCGGTAATAAACGATATTAATTTTGAATTATGTAATTGATAATTTTGTAAATCTACAATATTGACACTGATAGAATTTTGAGGTCTACTGTGGTATATTTTTATATAATGCTATTTTACTATACTATATCATTAAATAATCTAAAATTTGGTGATATCTTTGAAGACTTTCTACCGCTGATTAAAATTATAATTGATGATTTCTAAACTAATTAAGAAATTTAGGTTAATAGAGTTTAGACCTAAACTCTGTTAACCCAGTGAACCTTATATACCTGAATATGGTCTTTTAGTTTTCTAATTGATCAACTCTGCTGTATCACTATTACTATTTTGGTTTGACAAATTAATAATTTAATCACTTATTATGATTTGATTTAAAAAAAAATGTTCTTGTAAATAATTATAATTATTTTATTTTTAACGTTTTTGTGTTAAAATGTTAGCCTTGGATGCGTATAAGAATTAACTATTGCTATAATATATCTTATTTAATTATTCATAGACTTCAATTAAAGTAGTTTACACTATTTTCAACAAAAATAGTAGTTTTTATTATTAAGTATTGAGATAAAACTTATTAATTATAGTAATTCAAAATAAATACTTTTATATTTTATATTATTAATTCTATAAAAAATTAAATTTTTGAGTAAAAATTTTTAAAAAAAAAAGTGTAATTTAAAAACTTTGATTAAAACAACAATCTAAGTCCAATATTAAAAATAAAAATGATGGAAATTAAAAATAAACTAGCTATTTAATTAACAAATTAAATTAGTTTAATGATGATAAATAAATGATTTAAACTTCTTTTAAAAAAAATATGTGTACTTTTTTTTATAACAAAATCCAAAATTTGGACTTGAGGCTTTATTTGAATAAAAGATTTAATAAAATTAGATATTATGAACAAAAATTGTCTTTCCTTTAAAAAATTTTTGGCAAAAATCTAATATTTATGACTATATTCCTCTTTTTTTGAAGTGTGATAAAAAAAATAATTGGACTGCATTAATAACATTTTTAATAACAATGATGATGTTGAAACCACTATAATAAAAGTTTATATTTAAGCAACTTTTAATAAATAAAAGCTTTATGTTGGTTAAAAATTGATTGTATTATTAAGACATATTTTTTTATGGCATTACTTAAAAAAGTGATGAAGTGTACAATAACTTTGTTAAAGAAAACTTGAGCATTAACTCTTCATTGTGTCAAAGTGTGTATATTCATGACTACAAAAGTTGTTTTAAATTTTATGTGCAATAAGGGATCACTGTTGGAATTGTTGTAGAATACAATTTTTTTTATTTCAATGTCAAATTTTTAATTTATGTTGTGAGGAGTTAAATATTAATAATTCAATAATCTTCATGTTCATCCTACCTAGCTCCATGTGAATTTTTTTTCTATTTAAAATTATCAGTCAAAGATGTCATTTTTATATAACTATATTTAAATGGGAGAAACTACGGAATATCAATAATCAAACTACTTATAAAAATATCCTTTCCATAAAAGTTCAATAAAAAATATAAATATGAAAGAATGGGTCTAGTTGTTTTTATTAAGATATTTTAATTTTTATTGTTAGAAATTTGTATAGAAATGTACTACAACATAATATCTTTTCTAATCCATAAACTGTAAAAATACTAAGTATAACTTCGTTATTTAACTTAGCATTATTGATTTATTTTTTATAATTATTTAAATCAATAATCATCGCAAGTATCTAATAACAAATGTTTTAAAAAAAGTCCATCTTTTAGTGGCTTTAATCCTATTTCCATTATGTTTTTAATTATTTTAGTCATACTTGATATTTTCCTGTTAATGTTAAAATTTACAATACAAATATTTTAAAAAATTATTAAAATACAACATTAGATTATAACTTGATGAGATTTGAAATTTGTTACAATATATTATCTTTGAAAGAAAAATTTGTACTTATGAGTATATAAAATAAAATTAGTATAATTTATTTTATTTAGATGGCAAAATAAAATTTAGATAAAAAAACCAAGTACATTGTCTTTAAATAAATATAGAACCACAGCAAGCTATTTTTCAAATAGAAAATAGAAAATTTCATTTTTTACATTTAATAAGTTTTATTCATAAGACTTTTTATTATAATTTTTATTTTAAACATTAAATTTCTTCATTCTTTTTATAATCATATATTTTTTGTATAATATATGAAGAGTGAATGTGTCAAACGTTATATGTGCCAAAAATATATTTGTTCAGAAAACACAAAAAACAATGGTAACATGGGCATGTCTCACACAACGAACACCATCTATGAATGCAATTTTGTACAAGTAAAAAATTTAATTGACATTTGAAACACATACAAGATTGTGGTCTTTGGCACATAGAACATAAATCAGAAATAAAACAATTTTTCATTTTTTTGGCACATAGAACGTTTGACACATTCACTCTTCATATGTTCTCTCCTTTACATAATTTGGACACAAATTATCGTTCAGCTCAAAACCCATTCTTTCAAAAATATTAAAAAAAACTAAAATTAATATCAAACTATGAATTGCAGTAAAATTCTTGTATTCAATACAACGCTTTAGGAAAAACTTAGTCGTTGATCAAAAAAAATATTTTGTATTTTATTCGCGTATTTGATGACTGAACATAAAACAAAACAACTTGTGCATGTGTTATATCTACTATAATGATAAAAATTGCTATCAGATTTCAATCATAATTGGTTATTATTATTATTTAAGTTATTTTGTACCAATATTCAATTTATCAGAATGTACTCGTCTAGTTATTAAGGTTGCCAAGTAAGGTAGGTTTGCCTTTTAAACGCTATAATAGATATATACATATTATTTAATACTCAGGTAAAAATTAATCCAAAATTAAATATAATTGAGGGGTTCCAAAAAATAATAAGTTATTTACAGAATGTTCTGTAAGAAATGAAACGGGTTTCTATTGTTCTCATTGTTAGTAACAATTGACATGTTTCCTGAATCACTGAACATTTTGAATTCCATTAAAAAAAAAATCTACATGGCGACAAATATTTCAAGCATAATCCTTTATTTAAAAATTTCAAAAATTAATATAAGATACACATTATTTAAAAAAATCATCTAATCATTATTTATTTGACATAAAAACAATTTTAACATTTTACTTTTTATCATTTGAAACATTTAGTGTTTATTTTTTCGTAACGAATTCTTATTTTATTTTTCAGCGGTATAGATGTATGTAGAATTATTAAACCAGAACTATCAAAAAAATTTTCTAAAGAAGTTACTATTACTCCTATTGAGAACAAAGAAAGTAATGAGGTTATATCTTTGTTAAAAAAACTACCTGCTATATCTTTTGCAATAATTAAGCATGAACCGGAGTTTAAAGTACCTCAAACTCCTCCTTTGCTATCTTCTACATCACGAACCCCTGTTAAATGTGTTCGTTCGAAGAAACCTAAAGAACTTCAGAATAGAAGCTTATCATCCGAGAACAATTTTAAACAGCCTTTACCGCCAGACAATAAAAAAATTGTGGTAACTCCTAAACCTCTTAGAGAACGAAATGTTCCTTCGTCTTCACTACAAAAATGCCGAACCTTGTCGTTTCCTCTACAAGGAAATATTTTGCATCAACAACAAACAAAGCAACGGAATTCCCCTTCAACTTCTGTACCAAACATAAAGACACCGAAATCAGCACCAAAAAAACGTACTCCAAACCAGCAAGTAAAAACTAAACAAATGCAGAAAAATGTTGATGATAAAACCCAAAAAAAATGTGAGACATCAGAAATATCTCTTGAGAAAATACCCTCAACGCTTCCGGACAATAAGGAGAATGTTCCCAGAACAAGTTCTCCTAACAGTTTATTTACTACAATTGGCAAAAATGATACGACGGAACCATCTGTTAATAATAGCTACACATTAATGGACTTGTCAGTCGATGGTAAGATTAACATAACGCCCGCTGCAGCTCCGTCTTGGGATCTTGATAACTCCAGTGTACCCGAGTACGATAAGTTCGTTATGGGTATCGGTGATACCACTCCTTCGCCGTGCAGCTCGTCAACCGATTATGGTACAACTTCCACCATGTCGGAACTGTTGCCCGACATGGTTGAGCCAGAAAATAGGTCCACGCCATCATCTCAGTTCTGGTATGAAGATATAGCCAAGTCGCTTAGTCAAAACTCTGTGGAATTTCCCGTGAACGGATATTTGAACGAAAATGATATAAAAACAACAGCTGCCGACGACGCACAAACTTTGCAAAAGATTAGAAATCGCTTTTGTGATTTAACAAACACTGTGTTATGCAATAATGAACTATGGAAAGATAAAAAAAGAGTTGCACAACAAGAAGAATCGTTCAAAAAATCAAAACTTGAATAAAAAGTTAAAAATTTTATTGGATTGTGATAATAACAACATACGAAAAACAAAAAAATTATATCTACTTAAAAATTCTACTAGAAAATTATTATACTATGTGATTCGAAGTAATTTAAAAATAATTTTACTTTTTAAAAATAGTCCTTTCATTT